AGGTACTCCCTTCATTAGCATTAGCAGGAAGGTCAAATCTTGCAAGCCCTGGTCTACACATGGGAACTCTTACCCCCAGCCCCACTGTTAAAAAACAAAATTCAACTGAGCAAATTCGAAGATTGAATTGACTTTATTAAATAATTCATGAATCAGGTAGCATTTCATCTGGCAATAGAGAGATAGTTCAAGTGACAACAGATTCTCATTGACTGGGCTGCAGTGTTTTCCATTGGTTGTGCTTATTGCTGGGCAAGAAGGAAGTCTTCCCCTTACTGGAGTAGTAAAGTAGTTGCACTTCCTGTTTGGGATTGTAAGGCACATCTCTTCCTCTTGAGGTTGGTAACTGATGCTTCTTCCTGTTGGGGTCTGTAATTGACATCTTCCTGTTTGGGGTAATTGAGTGGTAGGACATGAGAGCTCCCTCTACAGGCCTTCCTGACTCCAATTTTATTTGAGATTTCCTTTATTAATTTTAACACTGCCCTCTAATGACCCCAAAGCCAGTCTCCTTTCTCTGCTCTCTTAACCCATTTTTAGACCTCCTTGGGAAGTTTCCAGGCTCTCCCCAGAAATCTTCATATGTAAATAATAAATCTTTTCATCTTCTCTTGGTGTGTGATGTCATCAATCTTGACGTTTGAACCAAATTTTGGCTGGAGGTGTTCAACCTACCATCACAACACAGATAACTTAGCTATTGGAGTTATCAGACAAGGATTTAAAAATAACTAGTATAATAGAATACAAAAAGAATATGTAGAAAAAGATGGACAAAATGAATGAAAAGATGGAGAATTTCTACAGAGAATTGGAATTTATAAATATTCAAATAGACATTCAAGAACTGAAAAAATTTGGTATCTGAGATTAAGAATTCATTGAGTGGATTTAATGGCAACCTAAACACAGGAGATGATAGGATTAGTGAGCTGAAAGACAGGTATATAGAAAATACTCAAACTGAAGCACAGAGAGAGAAAACAATTAAAATAACAGATCAGAGTATAAGACAGATAATGGAACACAGTCAGAGGTCTAACATACATATCACTGGATTCCCAGAAACAGAGGAGGGAAAGAGAATATGGCAAGTGAAATCTGAAGAGCTAAAGGACAAGAATTTTCAAAATCAGATAAAGACATCAACTCACGGATTCGCAAAGCTCAGTCAATCCCAAGGAAAAGAAATACAAAGAAAATCACACATAGGCACATCATCGTCAAACTGAAAATAAGACAAGCAGCCGGAAAGATAAAACACGTGACATTCAAAGTAGCAACGATGAGTTGTGGCTGATTTGTCAACTGTAACTATGAAACCAGAAGACGATGGGATGGCATCTTTGCAGAAAGAAAAGTTGTGTAGCCAGCATAAATTTTCTTCAAAAATAAGGGCAATTCATGCTTCTATTTCCATTCCCTTTCTTTCTCTACCCGCCCTGAACAGTTTGGTTCTAAAGCTATTAGGTATTTAGAAAATACGCTTTAAATATAGGACATAGAAAGGTAAAAAATAAAAAGATGATAAAAGTTATATCATGCAAATACTCACCAAATAAAAGGTGTGGCTCTATTGATATCAAACAAAATAGACCTTAGAGCCAGAAGTGGTAGTAAGGGAAGTAAAGAGCGACGTTTCATAATGATGAAAGGGTTAATTCAACGGAAGATGTAACAATCGTAAATGTGTATGCACCTAATAACAGAGCTACACAATACACGAAATAGAGTATTTCCAGAATAAAAGAGACAAATAGGCAAGTCTGTAGTCATAGCTGGAGATTTTTAACAAATCTCTCAGCAACTGATAGAAAAAGGAGATGAAAGATGTAAAAGTATATAGAAAATATGAACAGCAGAATGAATCAACTTGACTTAATAAACAGTTACAGAGGGCTGCACCCCGCAAGGGGCGAACACACTTCCTTTTCGAGGGCATAGTTACCAAAATAGAACATGTGCTGGGCCATAAAGCAAGTCTTAACAAACTTCCAAAGGTGAAATCATGCCGGGTGTGATCTCTGACCAAAGTGGAATTAAACTAGAAATGAACAAGAGAAAGATTCTTAGAAACCCCAAACGTTTGGATGTGAAACAGAACACTTGTAAATAACCCGTGGCTCAAGGAAGAAACCACACAGGAGAATAGAAAATACTTTGAACAGAATGAAAATCAAAATACTGCATACAAATGCCTGAGGCAAATAGGCAAAGCAGTGATTAGAAAGAAATTTATACCTTTAAATGCATACGTTACACGAGAAAATAGTTTAAAGACAGTTATCTAAATTTGAACAGCAACTTAAACCCAAGGAAAAAAGAAAGAAGGAAATAATAAAAATAGGAATCCAAATCAATGAAATACAAAGCAGATATACAACAGAGAAGATCAACAAAGCAAAAAGTTTGGTTATTAAAAAAATGATGAAATTGATAAACTCCCAGATAAAAGAAAAACAAAATAAGTCACCAATATGAGCAACAAAAAAGATCCTGCAGATGTAAGAAGATAAAAAGAGATTATTATCAAAAAACTTTATGCCAGCAAATTTAAAAACTTCGACTAAATTTCAATGGAGTTGAGTTTATTTTTCCTTTCGTTACCTGCACTTTTGGTGTCAAATCCATGACATTGTTGCAAAATTCAATGTCAAGAAGATTTTCCCCTATGTTTTCTTAGAAGAATTTTAAAGTTTTAGCTCTTAAGTTTGTGTCTTTGATCCATATTGAGTTACTTTTTGTGTATAGTGTTAGGTAAGAGGTCCAACTTCTTCGGCATGGGGATATCCAGTTTTCCCAGCATCATTTGTTAGAAAGACTGTCCTTTCTCCACTGAACGATCTTGGCACCCTTATCAAAAATCAACTGACCATACATGGGAGGGTTTATTTCTGGGCTCTCTATTATATTCCATTGGTCTATATGATCATCCTTAGGCCAGTATGTTTTAATTACTGTAGTTTTGTAGTAAGTTTTGAAATCAGAAAGTGTGGGGTCCTCAACCTAATTCTTCTTTTTCAGGATTGTTTTGACTATTGGAGGTCCCTTGCAATGCCATATGCATCTGAGGATCAGCTTTTCCATTTCTGTGGAGAATGCTCTTAGAATTTTAATAGGGATTGCATTGAGTTTGTACGTAGCTTTGGATCATGTCTGTAATCTTTGAAACACGTAGAATGGTGTTATCTATTATTTATGGGTGAACACATGTGTGGGAAGAATAAAACCGTGGACACAGCAAAGTCGAGATGGTGCTTTCCTCTAGCAGGGAAAGAGTTAATTAAGCTTAGGAAGGGAAAAGGAACTGAGAAGGCAAACACATGGGACTTCAATTATACCTGTAGGCTTTCATGCCTTTAAAAAAAAATTGGAAGCAAACTTCGTTAAAATTATCACTACCGAGCAGGTGGTAAATGGATGTGTGCTATTTTGCTCTCTACACTGTTCTGTAGTTTTGAAATTTCTCATTATAGAAAAGAAAGATGAAATGAGCGTCCTTGACAAGCTGGAGGAGCAGACTTAGTAGGTGGCGGAGGGCTGGAAGAGTGGGAGGTGGCGAGGTGAGCATGGGAGGTCAGGACTTCAGAGTCCAGGTGGGGCTGCACCGTGGGAGCGGCCCAGCCCGCCTGAAGCCCGGCGGGTGGATACTAGGCAGCGTGCTCCTGAAAGGCTCTCTCCTGTCCTGCTGCACTCCGTCTGCCTCCCTTGTACTGTCACCTCTCTGACCTGTCCATCAGGAGCTTATCTACCGAGTTGAGTTTAAACACAGGTGGGACTTGGCTCTGATCACGTGTCTCCTCTCATCTGTGTCACCTCCCAGGTTAAAGCCAAGGGGAATGAAGTCTAGAGAGAGTCAGAGTGTTGCCCAAGTATTCACCAGACGTATGAACTGAGCTCTTTCCATGGTGTCAGATAGCTTCTCTGCATTGGGGAAGGCTCGCAAGAGAACGTGGAACTGTATTTGCTCAGAATTCTGGGATCAGCGAGCCGTCTGATGTATGAGGAGGAAGGTGTTTAGAGCTGATGCCAGTCAGGAGCTTCTGCAAACCCAGGGTTGGGTTGTGCCTTGCAAAGGAAGCTTCCAGCTGGAGGGTATAAGGCACTCCAGGAATAAGGATGAAGGGTGCTTGTGTCCACTGGAGCACTCTGCCAGGTGTGAAAGATACGCACGAATCACTAATTGATTAACTGCAAAATCACTAGGCAATGAGTGGCTCCACGTGCATGATTATGGTATACAGAATAATGTCCCCCCAAAGATGTCCACATCCTAGTCCACAGAATCTGTGAGTATGGGACCTTACAGGGCAAAATGGACTTTGCAGGTGACAATGGAAGAAAAGGTTGGAGTGATGTGCTGTGAAGATGGAGGAAGGGGCCACAAGCCAAGGAAGGTAGGCGGCTTCTAGAAGCAGGAAAAGACAAGGAAATGGATTCTCCCCTGCAGCCTCGAGAGGGAGTGTGGCTCCGCCAAGCCCTTGATTTGGCCCACTGGACTTCTGATCCATTTTGGAGTTCTGAAGTCCAGAACTGTACAACAATAAATTTGTGGTTTTTAAAGAACTAGGGGCTGGCCCCATGGCTGAGTGGTTAAGTTCGTGCACCCCGCTGCAGGCGGCCCAGTGTTTCGTTGGTTTGAATCCTGGGCACAGACATGGCACTGCTCATCAAACCACGCTGAGGCAGCGTCCCACATGCCACAACTAGAAGGACCCACAACGAAGAATATACAACTATGTACCGGGGGGCTTTGGGGAGAAAAAGGAAAAAATAAAATCTTTAAAAAATAAAAAAAGAGGGGTTGGCCCCGTGGCTAAGTGGTTAAGTTCACGCGCTCCGCTGCAGGTGGCCCAGTGTTTTGTTGGTTCGAATCCTGGGCGCGGACATGGCACTGCTCATCAAACCACGTTGAGGCAGCGTCCCACATGCCACAACTAGAAGGACCCACAACGAAGAATATACAACTATGTACCGGGGGGCTTTGGGGAGAAAAAGGAAAAAATAAAAATCTTAAAAAAAAGAATAAATAAAAATAAAGTCAGAGTTTAAAAAAAAAAAAGAACTAAACTTGTGATTATTTGTTATGGCAGCAATAGGGAACTAATACAACGAATTTTCTAGCACACAGTGTACTTAAGTATTATGATACTTTGTATCAAAAATGGCTATAACAATATCTCCGGTCTCATATGCTCTTCCAGAATTTTGACACTTCTCCTATCAGGAGGTGGGGTCTATTCTCCCTCCCTTAAGCCTGGGTGGGCCTTTGTGACTGCTTTAGGGAAAGAAATGATATGACCTCCAATGCTGGGTCATAAAAAGTGATACGTCTTCTGCCCTGGCTCGCTGTTTCTCTTGGGCAAGTGTTTTGGGAGCCCTGAGCCAACATGTAGGGAATGTACCTACCCTGGAGCCACCATGCTGGAGAGAGCACACAGAGATGGAGAAAAGCCCAAGGAGGCCCAGCTGTGTGAGCTCCACCTGTTTGGGTCTCCCCAGCCCAGATGCCAGACAAGTGAGCAAGCCTTCATCCCCCAGCCTTCAAGCTATGTCAGTTGTTGCTGAATGGGGCAGAAACGAGCTGTCCCCACTGAGCACTGTCCTGATGGCACACTGGTGAGCAATTCCAGTGCTGTAGTTTGAAGCCACAAAGCTTTGGACACAGTGATGGACAGCCAGAACAAGGGCCAACAGTCCATCCACAGTGGTCCATCCACATCACCCAAGGTGAGGCTCAGGGGAACAAATTCAACCCCCTAAAGCCTAAGAGCTTCCAGTCAATTCTTTAGTGCTCCACTCTTAAATATCAACAGAGGAACCAAGGTTGCCAGACATCCACATGAAGGAGAGAGATCAAAGAAAATAAACAAGAGAAAACAACTTGAAAAGACAGTGACTATGCAGAGGAAGAAGACTTTTGAAGAAACAAACCAAAAAGTTCCCCTAAAACTCTAGTATTGATATTTCTAGAGTGATAATAGAAGATACTGCATCCTTGACATAAGAACAAGATGCTATAAAAAGGGAACACTCCGTAAAAACAACAAAAGAAGAGAACACAGAATAAAAACGAAAATAAAAAGCTTTACTAAAAGATTGGAGGATAAAGAAATGACCCAGAAAGCAAGACAAAAAACACAGAAATGGAAAATAGAGGAAAAGAGGGCAGTGAGTAAGAAAATAAGGACTGGTCCAGCGGATCCAAAATATGAACAAAAAGAATTCTAGGAATGGAGAATAGAGAAAATGAAGAGGAGTAAATTGTCAATGAAATAATTCAAGAAAAGTCCCAGAAGTGAAAGAAATGAATTTCTACACTGAAGCAGCCCACCAGGGGCCCAGCACAATGGAACATGGAGACGCAACATGACGAATGACTGTCCAGTCTCAGAACAGATGGGCTGAAGAGAACGTGCCACAACTTCCAGGGGAAATGGGTCATGTTCAAAGAATCGGGCTCAGAATTGTTTTGGATTTCTCAACAGAAACGCTGGAGAGCTAGAGCTTTAGCCATAGAGCAAAGCTTTCAAAACTGTGAAGGAAAAGGATTTCCGATATTTCTTACTTTTGCTGCATAACAAATTACTCCAAAACTTAATGGTTTCAAACAACACAATGTTATCTCACAGTTTCTGAGGGTTAGGAATTCAGGAGCAGCTTAGCTGGGCGTTCTGGCTCGGCATCTCTCAGGTTGTGTCCAGCTGTGGGACAGAGTCATGGTCATCTCAAGGCTCAGCGGGAGCTGGAGAATTGACTTCCGAGCTGACTCATGTGGTTGTCGGCACCAGCCAGCAGTTCCTTGCCGCAAAGACCTCTCCATGGGGCTGCTCATGACACGGCTTCCCCCAGAGTGAGTGATCCAACAGATCTGGAAGGCCCAAGATACTCTGTTATAATCTAATTGTGCAAGTGGTATTTCCATCGCTTCTGCCATATCCTGTTACTTCAGATCGCTGTTAGAATCTAATCTCGGAAGTGATTTTCCATCACTTCTGCCACATCCCTGACTTCAAACCAGCTCTGCTGAACCACAGTTAGTCACACGGGCCAGCAGTGTGGGAGGGTATTACACAAGGGCCTGAACACCAAAACGTAGGGATCACCGGGGCCATCTCAGAGGCTGCCCACCACACCACCAAGAATTCTGTAGGCAGCTAAAAGCATCAGTCAAGTGTGAGGATATACTAAATGTATTTTAAGACATTCAAAGTCTCAAAACCTTTCCTTCTTAAACACCCTTTCTCAGAAGGCTACTTGAGGACAGGCTCCACCAAAACAAAGGAGTAAACCTAGAAACAAAAGAGCTAGCCCAGGAGAGAGACGGAGGGACTCCCCAGGATGAGGAAGGGAGATAGCAGGGTGGCAGCTGCTTTGGGCACATAGCAGGTGCGCCCAATAGGGTTTTTGAACTGAGCTCAAGTGCTTGTTAGCAGAATTTCTTCTCCTTCTTCAGTATCAGTCAGTCAGTGGTAACAAGGTGCCTGCCCGTCACTTCTAATCCACAGCTTTAAATAAGTGAAAGACAGGGACACTAGAAGAGCAGGTTGTTACATAGTCTGTGAGTCTAGGTTCTGAGGAGGGCCCAAATACTCACAGGAGTGGTCTGTTCAAGTCCACGTCACTGACTCAGTGACGTCCCACTTTTGTATCCACTTTGAGCTCTGAGTACACTCGGTCTAACCGAAGCCGCCAGCATACAGGCAGACTCGGACCCCTTTTGTGGATCTGGGGCTTTCAGTTTCCAAAGCCCCTTCTCAGCACATTGTCGTTCATCCTCAGCATCACTGTGAGGTTGAAGCGGCCACTTACTGCAGAGCCAGCCTGCAGCCTCCTGCTCCCACCCCGTCCGTCCGTAGCCTGGGGCTGACTCCCTGAGCCAATCCTGGGGCTGCAGATTCCTGCAAAGGGGAGGTTTGGGGTGGGTGGGTCTTCAGGCCCTGTCCTGCCTGATGCAAGCACACCGAAATGGCTGCTCCCCCGCCCCCATACCGCCTCTGCAGAGAGGCTGCCCTGCCTGACAGTTCCCAGGGAAGAGTTAATTTCCCCGAGTTCCTTCCTCCTTTCAAATTAATCCCTTTTAATTCCTTTCGAATTGTGTGAAGTGAGTAAAAATCTCAGGCATGTCAGAGAGGTGACTGTTTTTTTTTTTTAACAGTTCAACTTACCTCTCTCTTTAAGCCCCAGTTATTCTAAATAGTAGACATTTCATCTCTGTCAATCCAGAATTTACTAATTCAGCACAGGGTTTCCTTCACCGCCCCGCAAAGCTGCAATGGAGCAGAGCATCTGGTCCTGCTTGGTGTCATCTTTCCGGGCAGACTTCCATTGTGCTGCCTTCATCTTTGCTCTGGTCCCAGACTTCAGAACAGGCCAGTTCTGCAACCAGTAGAGTCGCAGTGACCCTATTCTTGTCTGCATGGGAGAATGTCCTGCTGCAGCCTGTGACATGCTGGAGTATTGGGGGATTTGGGAAGCCACCTCATTCTGTGTCTGCCGCCCACAGCCACGTCACCTCTGCAGCCCCTGCATTTTGCCGAGTGTAGATGTCCCTTCCCAGTCCTGCTACCTATCCAGGCCCCACTCGGGAAGTGAGGCATGGGGACACAGTCATCTGGGGAATTCACGGTCAGCCTCATATCTGAGGTAAGCCTGGGGGACAAGGCCAAGAAATGGGACAACATCCGGTTTCCCGTTATCTGAAGGCTTGGTGCTTGTGTGGTGCAGGGATGGGGAGGGGGCAGGGACGACAGAATGTAAAGATATTCCCAAAGCTATTCTGTTCCTTCATTCATTCCGCATTTATGGTGCACCTGCCAGATGTTCCTTTGCTAGAAATGCCAAGATGAAACGTGGACCCTCTCCTTGGGGGCTCAAGGAGGAAGCAGGTAGCTTATAAATCAATAATTCCAGTACCAGAAGGTGAGGGTAGCATGGATATAAGAAAATAAAGGGCTTATATCCCTAACATACAACAGGCTTCTACAGATTGATTAAAAAAATTCAAACACAGTGTTCTAATTTCTCATTGCTGCTCTAACAAATTATCACAAACTTAGTGGCTTCAAAGAACATAAGCTTATCGTCTTACAGTTCTGAAGGTCAGAAGTCCAAAATGAGTATCATTGGGCCAACATCAAAGTGTTGACTGGGCTGGCTCCTTCTAAATGCTCCAGGGGAAAGCCGTGTCCTTGCCTTTTCCAGCTTCTAGAGGCTGCCTGTATTCCTTGGCCCTTGGCCTCTTCCTCCTTCCTCAAAGGCAGCAATGCCAGGCTGAGTCCTTCTCACGCTGCCATCTCTGGGTCTCTCTTTTCTTCTCCCCTTTTCCACTTACTAGGACCCTCGTGATGACCTTTGCTTCACCTGGATAACCCGGGATGATCTCCCCATCTCAAGGTCAGCTGACCAGCAAACTCAGTTCCATCTGCAACCTTAGTTCCACTTTGCCGTGTAAAGTGACATACTCACAGGTTCCGGGGATCAGGACGTGGACTGTTTAGGTGGGTCGTTATTCTGCCTGCCACACATGCCAATAGAAAAATGGGAAAATGTTAGGAACAAGTAACTCACAGGAAATGTGCAAATGGCACATGACTCTATGAAAAGATGGTCACCTTCCCCAGTAGTCAGGAAAACGAAAGCTAGAATTGCAATGAGATCCCGTGTTCACCCTCCAGATGGCAAATATTAAACAGGGTGACACTGTCCAGGGCTGAACAGGATGTGAGAACGGGCACTCTTATGTCCTGCCCGGAGGAGGGCAACAGCTACATTTTGGGGAAGGGAATCTGACTGTCTATCAGAATTGAGACGCACTTACATTTTGACTCTGCAATCCACTTACAGGAATCTGTATCCTTCAAAAATTAACAAACTGTCACTTTATTCAAAAACCGTCAGTGTGTCAGGCACTGAGGACGTGGCCATGAACAGGACAGACAAGGCCCCCGCTCTCATGGTGCTGACGTTCTTGTGGGAGAAGCAGACCACAAATAAAGAAAGAAAGAAAGAGACTCGAAGTGTGCTGGTGGGGATGAAGGCTGTGTGTTAGTTTCCTAGGGCTGTTATAATAAATTACCACAAACTGGGGGGCTTAAAATGACAGTGATATATTCCCCCCCAATTCTGGCAGCCAGAAGTCCAAACTCAAGGTTTGGGCAGGGCCAGTTCCTTCTGGAGGCTGAGGGAGAATCTGTTTGTTGCTTCTCTCCTCGCTTCTGGTGGCTGCCAGCATTCCTTGGCGTCTCTTGGCTTGTAGACGTGTCACTCCAATTTGTCTCACCTGGCCTTCTCCTCTCTGTGTCTCTCTGTCCAGATGTCCCTCCTCTTATACGGATGTCGGCAACTGGATTAAGGTTCATCCTAGTCCAGTATGACTTCATCTTAACTTGACTACCTCCGCAAAGACTACTTCCAAATAAGGTCACATCCCCAGGTAGTGGGAGTTAAGAAATCAACATATCTTTTTAGAGGACACAATTCAACCCCCAACAGGCTGTGCAGAGACTTGACATGAGATGATGTTAGAGAGTGAGGGTGCCCACTTAAACTGGCTGAGCAGGAGGGCCCCTCAGAGGAGGTGACCCGCAGCCTGAGCTCTGAACGGTGGGTGGGGAAGGAGTCCTTGCAGATCCAGGAAGAGCGTTCCAGGGGCGGGACCAGCTGTGCGGTCTCAAGGCTGATTGGCTTTGATGAGTTCAAGGCCCTGCAACCAGGCCAGCGTAACTGGAGCTAATGGGCACGGGAGGGTGCTCCAAAGTGAGCTCAGAGAGGGCAGCGGGGCCAGGTCATGCTGGAAACCCAGGGTAAGGAGTGCGTGTTTATCTTGGAGGAGGCCAGTGACATGATCTGACCTGTGTATTAAAAACTGCGGTAAGGGAGAATGTGTGTACGCGGGTGTCTGTCGCATCACTGTTTGCAAAAAAAACCTGTAAATGACCTGCATGTGCACTAACAGGGGCTAGTTGGATGAACTATTATATCTGTTCCATGGGTTATGAGTTTGAGCTATCCGTGTTCCCCTGGAAAGAGGTTCTTGGTGATGAGATGAAAGAGTAAGTTGTGCAGTAAGGTGTCCAACACATCTGGGTGTGTGTCTCCTTAAAGCAATAAAGCCACCTGCGGGCTTGACTACGATCAGGCCACGGAGACGCGGGCTGTCTCCAACCAAACCCTTGCCAGCCAGTGGGTCTCCAGAAGGGCTCTCGTTTATAATGCTGGCCCTGATCGTAACAGTCTTCTTCCAGTGTACACTCTCATTTATGAGGGCCTCTCCTCCCCGGAGCATGTGCAGAAGCATACAACATTGGAGGATGAATGACTACAGATCTAGTCTAGCTCCCACTTTACAGATAGAGGAGCCGAGGCCCAGAGAGGCGAACCATTGCTCAACAAGCCAGTGTCAGGGGTGGGGCCCACATCCAGATCATGTCTTGAATTGATCCCTCTGGCCCTGCTGGAATGCCACCCCTTGTAACATGGGTTGTCCAAGTCCCTGTCCTGTGGATGTACAGACCGCATCCCACGCATTCACACACAGCATCAGCAGAGCCCAGCCTCAGGGGCCGTGACCTACCTGGACCACGCTCTGGTTCCCGTCACTGGAAGCCCGATGCCCAGGTGCCCATGCACAAGAACTCCTGCTGTTATGGGAAGTTGGGTCACTTGTTTGTTTCGTACATCTCCTTCCATCCTGAGGCTGCTCTGTGACAAGCTCCTGTCCTGTGCAATCCCCTCCTACTGGTCCCCATTGCTCTCCAGGTTCAGACAGTGTGTTTCAACGTCCACACAGGTGTGAGCCAGGTGCTACTTTGGACGGGGATGGAGGAGGTCCCCATGCCCACCTGGCTTAGGGAGACAAGGAAGCCAGGAGACTCAGACGTTGGGAGGGTTTCTGTACAAAAGACTGAATCAAATAATTTCCAGTTTACTCTGAACGAATTCTCCTTCTCAGACCATCCCAAAGACTGCTTCCTCCTGGCAGTCCTCTCCGCTCCCAGAGCCGGAGGCACCGTATTCCGTGGCCTCCTGCGCATCGGGGCCTGCCCTCCTTTCCTTTCAGACGCTGTATGCTCAAAAAAATCTGTGTTGATTTCTTGGCCCAGAAAGTGAAATGAATCTGAACCTCTGTTCTCTGAGAGGTCCAGGATCCAGTCCCTAATAAGGACTCAGATTTCTCTGGATTTCCCCATTTTCAAGTCGAGTGCTGTTTCCCCATGTTCAAGTTGCTTATTGGTGGTAAAAATCAGAGGTCTTCTCAGGACACCTAAAGGACACAGGTGGCAGGCCGGGGAGAGTTATTTGTGTCTGCCCATAGCAGAATGGATGCGACCATAGCAGTGTGGTGTACCATGCAGTAATCTACAGCACTGAGAACCGGTGATCTAAACTACAGGCAACATGTGATTCAATCTCAAAAACTGTTACATTAAATGGGAGAAGCTGAACTCAAAAGAACACGTAGGTATGTTCCATTTACGTCAAGTTTAAAAGCTGGCAAAATTAAACCATAGTCTTTAAGGTCACATGCTTAGCTGGCTGTATAAGATTATGAAGAAAAGCCATGAGTCCTGATTCTGGCCAACTTTGGGGGGAAGGAGGTGGAGAGAGAAAGAGCTTTAGAAGAGCTGTAATCCCGATTCTCGAACTGGCCTATACTTTAGCTCACTGATAGTTTGTTAAGCTCTATGGTTATTTTTTTATGTGTATTTCTCTATATATTTCAAAATACAAAAGGCTAAAAAAATAAAGTCCAGGGGCCGGCCCCATGGCCAAGTGGTTAAGGTTACATGCTTTGCTTTGACAGCCCAGGGTTTGCCAGTTCGGATCCTGGGCATGGACCTACATGCCACTCATCAAGCCATGCTGTGGTGGCATCCCAAACAGAAAAGCTAGAATGACTTGCAACTAGGATATACAATTATGCACTGGGGCTTTGGGGAGGAAAAAAAAAAGAGGAAGATTGGCAACAGATGTTAACTCAGGGACAATCTTCCTCACCAAAAAAATGAAAAAAAATAAAGTCCATAAATAAAAGAAGCATAGGATTTAGTGGAAGCATTTGTGGGGACTGATACTGGGACCCTCTGGGGGGATTTTAGGGTGGTTGGTCTCTCTCTTTCTCCTCCTCGCCTTCCTTCCTGCCTCCTTCAGCACCTCTTCGTCTTCCACTCTCTTTTCTACCATAGAAAGCCTCTGCAAGCCCCCCTGCCCCCGCACTCAGCCCTTTGCTGCACAGGCAGCCACTCCTTTCATGTCCTCTGAGACCTTGAAAATTCTTTCCAAGTTCAGATCCATGGAAAAGAGCATCTAATTGGCCACTGTTGGGTACCGGCCACCTTTGGACCAGCTGCCTGGGTCAGGCCCTCCCTGGTCCCTTCAACTCTGGCCCACGGGCCAGGGAATGTGGGTGAGGAGGACCAGCCTCTCCTCAAGCCCTGGAGGCTTTGGTAGAGGGACTGAGGGTGGCCAGTTTCTCTGAGAGGGCCGAGCAGACAGGACAGTCGCTCCCAACACAAGGACAGGAGGTGGAGCTGGGCGCTCCCAACCTGGACAGGTGGGCAGAGAGAAGCCAATTATCTCAGGCCGGCAGGAACCAGAGGCCCAACTAGACGGGAGAACCCGGGACCCCGGGCCTCCCGGCTCTCTGTGCCAGCTTTGAGCTGCCCAGGGCAGCGGAGCCCCCAGACTGTTTTTTCCCACCATCATGTGGATCCGGTTCCCAGTCCAGGTCTACACGCACAGCTGAAGCCAGGTCCCTCCGCTGTTTGTGTGAGCAGCTGTCTCCAGCAGCCCGGCCCCCAGCCCCTTCCTGGGGGAAGATGCCCACAGGTTAGTAAATATTGGCAATTCCCCAAGAACTGTCATTTTTTTTGTTTTTAAAACATCTCTCTTCTTCTCGCCTTGCCAACACCTCTCCTCCCACACCTCTCCTTTATCGGGAGTCTGGGGAGGAGGGTTCTCCTCCCACGGCCTCTCCACCTCCTCTAAGGGGCTCTCCTTGACTCCGGTCCTCCCTGAGCCCCGCATTCTCCTGTGGGAGCCTTTGTCACCATACGCCTTCTCTGCGCCCTGCACGCTCTGGTGTTTCCACAGCATCTCTCTGACCTTGCAAACTGCGAGTGGTCGGGGCCAGGCCTTCTGAAGTAGGTTACTGACAGCAGCAGCATTGGTGGCCATCGCTGCTGAGCGCCTGCTTCCACATACGGAGCCTTGTTTCACAGTCACAGACCCCCGACAAGGGGCAACTTCCTCTCCCAAGTTTGCAGCTGAGGCTTAGGGGGGGTCAAGCAGTTTCCTCCGCATCCAGTGGTACCTGAGCGTCTCTGCCTGATTCAAGGCCCGGGGCCTGTCCACTCTGTGTTCCTCTGAAGCATATTCTTTTATGCTGATGCTCCATTTATCCCCGAGAGGCAGACCCTGCTGTTATCATTTGCTTTTTACAGAGAGGACAACGTAAGCTCAGAGAAACTGAATGGCAAAGAACACATTGGGCCCTCTAGTTTCAAGCCCTGAGCCTTCGCTGCGTAGTGTCTTCCCCCAGCTCCTCTGTTCTCCTCGGGACAAGGATTGTCCTGGATTCTGCCTGCCTGCCTGCCTCCCACAGTAGCTGAGACCGTTACGAATAAATCACCCTCCCAGTCAGAGGGGATGGAGGGTTGGGTCTGTCTACCTATACATCCGTCTATCCTCCCACTCACCTATCCATCTACCTACCCACTGTCTGTCTATCTGTCTATCTATCTATCTATCTATCTATCTATCTCTCTAGCATCTATCTCACAGCCCATGTCATGAAGGAACTCACAATCCAGTAGACAAAGATGGGCGTGCGCACACACACACACATACATAGGAATATTCACATATGTATATGAATACTCACTTATACACATGCTTAAAGTACTGCCTGAGAGAGGTACACATGCTGCGACAGAAGACTTTGAGCCTGCACTCGGTGGGAGGGAGTCGGGAAAGCTCCCTCAGAGCCCCCCCCGGCTCCTCCTCTGGCCAGACGGAGTGCTGGACACCAGGAACATGGAGAAGTGAAGCAGACTTGACTGCAGCTCTCACGGAGCTCCACCCTTAGGAGAGAATCTCAGATGTGAGCGGATCTGGATTTTGTAGGGAGCAGTGGGAGGCAGGGCCGCACATGTCCTGATAGAGGCTGAGAACGTCTGGTCGGGAGCTGGCCCCAGCCCGCCCTTTGCTTCCTCTTGGCTTGAGGACGTGGCATAGCATCTATGAGCTTGGAGTGTCCCTTCTGCAGAATGACACAGTTTGACAGCAGCTGCTACCAGAGGAGCCTTCCCTGCCCGGCCATCATGCAGGGGACAAGGCACGCTGTCCTTGTCCTGGGGCTTCGCTGAGGCCAGCAGGTAATTTCAGTCTCCCAGCTTGCTGGAGTTTCTTCAACGAGGAGGCAGGCACGGTCAGCCTCTGCATCCTTTCCCCCCTGGGGACAGGAGGCCTGCAGACTTCCTGTGTCTCTCCCCGCTCTGTACCTTCTCTCCACTCGACACGGTGCCAGGGTGCTTTCCCCTCGTGGGAGGAGCTCTGGACCTGAGCCACCTTCCCAAAACCAAGGACTCTGGGTTTAAAGGGAGGAATTGAGGGGCGAATGAGAGAGGGAAAGCCCACCAGCCTCAGGGGCCTGGCTCAGACCCGGCACCCTCACGTCCACTGCGTTCTCTGGTCAGAGCAAGCCTCAGGCGCACCTGGATCAAGGGCAGGGAACAGGCGCCCCGCCCCTTGAGGAGGGAGCTGCAATGTCATTGTGAAGGGCTTGGAGACAGGGAGGAGGAAAGCTTCCAGCCGCTGTGTGCGGTCCACCTCCAGCCACCGCTGAGGGCTCTGGGTCCACACCCACCGCTCCTCCTGTGAGCCCGGAGGGTCAGCAACAAGAGGCGTCACACGTGAGGAAGAGGCTGGGGGGACTGCGCCAGGTCCTGGTGACCCCCGTCCAGACTTTCTCAGACTGGGAGCAGCATCTTCTTGAAAATTTAAAAATGGGGTGCTGTCATTTTGATGTTAACCTAAAAACACATTTGAACATGCTCAGGGCCGTCTGCGTGGCCCTGAGCCTCACCAGGAATTTCAGTGCACCAAGGTCTGTATTTCTTTCCAAGCCACAGCACTGGGGCCAAGCGGCAAAGCCTTGACGGTCATGAGAGACCGATGAAAGAGGCAGCCAGACGCCCTCAGGGCACAGGGCAGAAACGCGGCTCCTTGGGAGCTTAGGAAGACAAGAGCAGAGGGAAGCTGAGTCATGACAAGGCAGAGCTGAACTGGGAGAACCCTTTCCCAGCACCTACGAGTGTTTCCACAGCCTCAGTGGCCATTTCGTGTCAGCCAACCCACATCGCCTGATGCCTTGAAGCAGTGCTGTTCAGGTCTGGGAGCAGCGAGGCTGGGGGGAACCGCCGCACGGCAGTGAGAGTACATGCTGGGATAGAATCGATTTGTGAAGGAGACTGAGGGTGGTGGCTGGGCCTCCAGAACACCAGATGAGGACTTTGTTACTAACAACAGCCTCTGCCTGAATGCTGGCTGCCAGGCAACCACTGCCAATCCTCCAACCACCTAGCAAGGGAAGTATTGCTATTTCCACTTAGCAGATGAAGACAGCAGTTCAGAGAGGTTAAGTAAGTTGCTCAGAGCCACACAGCATTCCTACCAACTCTGTCCTACTCCGCCGCCAGGACTCTTCCAGCCGCAACTCAGTCTCTTCCGGGTTGCTCTGTCCTGGGTTGGGCCGCGCACCTCCTAGGACTTCTCAGGCCCAGGTGAGCAGCAGATGCCTCTGCCCCACCTTTACCTCTGCCAGCCTGCCAGGCAACCCAGCTCGTACTTAAGTAATTACGTCCTCAAGTAAACATTGGAGAGGTCCAACCTGTTTTTGTACCGTTTCAGGAAAACAAGGTCCCAGGAGCCTTCCAGTAAGTTCAGAGGGTTTCTGGCTCATCCATGAGCAAACAGGGACAAGTGGCTTCAGTCCTGTTCCTCCCCGCTGCCACCCACCCTGCCAGGTTCCTTCCCCACCTCGGTCACCAAACCAGCGCAGTTTGTTCTCCAGAGCACGTCGGCGTGAGCCCTGGGCTGGTGAGCACAGCCGCTCCCTGGTCTTTGTGTTTCTGGGAGTCCCCAGGCCAGGGCTGCAGGACTTAGGAAGGCCAGGCAGGGTGTTTGTAACACTTCAGGGGTGGTGTCCTGTATGGCTTCCGCGTGTCCCCTCTGGTGATGAGGATCTGTCTCCTCTGCAATGAACTGATGAGAAGGGAGGAGCCGGGAGCGGCTCTGAAGGGGCCCCGCCCTCTCCACTCTGCCTGAGGCCTTGCCCCTGGGAGGGGTTCGCACAGCCCTGGACACTGCTCTGTGAGGCATCGGCAACACACTTTGGTCAACGAGCCCTTCTAGAGGCTGACTATGTGTCGTCATTGTGCTGGTCACTGGCGATCCAGACACTCGCCAAGCCCCGGCCCTGCCTGCCCCTCCGGCCATCGCTGAGCAGAGGGCAGCAGGGAGGCCAGTGGGCACGGAGGGGAGCATCCTCCCCCTCCCCCCCCCCCTCCAGACTGTTCAGGGCTGGCACTGCAGGACGTTCTCGGTCCACAGATTCATTCCAGGGCCGTGTGCAAGAAGAGCTCTTCGAGAGTTTCCTCAGAGCAGATCGGCGTTGGGTATCTCGTGGCTGCCCCACCCATCCCCTCCCTCTGATGTTTCATGAGGGGCTGGCTTCTGGGGCCCACAGGCTTCCATGCTCGCTGTCCCCTGACCTGGGCACTTGCGACCGCATGTCAGCGCTATCTACAGACCTACCTGTCTCCTCACTAGACTGTGGGCAGATCGAGTGCAGGACCCTCATGTGATGTGGCCCGAAATCCCCACACCTGGCCTGGCAGCGGACAGCAGGAGGGTCTCAGAAAGCCTCTGTGGTGGGAATGTGTGAGCATTGATGGAGACGGCTGCACAAGGAGCGCTGGCGCAGGAACTGGGGGTGCGGGTTCTGGTGGCTTCTTGGTCACTGGCTGTCAGCGTGACCTTGAGTAAAGCAGCATGCCTCTCTGGACCGCCGTTCTCCCAGCTGTGAATAGGGGATTGGATGGCAGGTCAGTTCCCCTGCCTTTCTGACAGTACACATACGAGTCAGGGGTCTCCACTGAGCCCCTGAAGCAGAACCAGTGGGAGAGGGCAAGATTTTAGATAGAAAACTAGAGAAATAAACAGTTCGTTATTACAGGGGATTGGCCAGTTGGAGGGCTGGCTGGATGCCTCCACGTCTGATGTTGGAGCTTGAAGTCCCCAGGGTAGCAGTCCGAAAAGGGAGGCTGGTGAGCAGGCTGGGACTCCAAAAGCAGGTGCTGGAACTCTGTAAGGATGGATGGAAACCCGTGTCTGCTCCCGTTGCCTCCGACCTTGGTGACAGGGAATCCCGCCGGGCCCCGGGCTCTTCATCTAACACCGACTTCTGTGCCTGTGCTGCTTCACATGGGTCGGCAGAGGAGTGCTCTGTGTGTTGACCAAGCGCGTGCTACAGAATGCCCGCTGCCTCCCTTCCTCCTGCCCACTCGCTCCTGAGAACCTGCCTTGTATAGTCCTAATCAGAAACAGGCCAGAAAAGGAATTCGGGAGAATGGAGTTCCACCTCGCCAAGGCGATACGAAGCTATCACAGTAGAGTTTTGGTTCATTTCTTCTGCAAAAAATTCATTTGAAGAAAGTCCGGAAGAAAATCATCCTGAAATTTTCTTAGCAAACTGAGAGTCTCTCCAAATAAATGGCTGGTCTTCCACTGTGTAGCCCCAAGGTCATTCATTCAGAGTCAGACACAGCTATAAATTGTCAGCTCCTCCAGGACGGCCTTGGGTCTCCGCCTCCTCCTGGCGCTTCCTCGCACACAGAGCACACAGGGTGTGGTGCACGGCGGGCGGGTGAAGAGCACTGGGGCGGCCTCGTTTCCTCACCAGGGCTGGTGTCTGTTGGGTGCTCATCGGCGGCCTCTGCTCCTTTCGTGCCCACACCAACACGTGGAGAGAGACACCAGCGTTGTCCCCATTCACAGATGGGACACAGAGGCACAAAGAGTTTAAGTCACTTGTCCGAGGTCATATAGCCAATAACCAGTAGAACCAATGTGAACCTGGGCTGTCTGCCCGCAGGGCCTCAGGCTTCGCCACGACTCACGCAGCCTCCGAGCTCAGCATGTGCGGCTGGTCATATTACCAGACTCGCCTTAAAGTGGACTGAGAGACGGCGGGCAGCAGTGGGGGCCCAGGCTCACTCTCATGGTTGGTCCCGGAAGACAAAAAACTGGCACTGCCGGCAAAGGTTCAGAAATGCTCACATTTCCATCTCAGCCTGCTGTGTGTTGGAGATTACTGACTGCCTCCCAATGTGCTTTATCTACTTCCTCAGCAATTGAACTTCCAGTTTTCAGTTGGGCACATGATAGCCCCAAAAAAAGACTACTTCCCAGCTCCTTTGCAGATGGACAAAGGTGAGGCCATGTGGCTTCACTGTGGCTAGAGGCATATGCATGGAAGTGTGCAAATTCCGATGTATTCCTACAGGCAAGGGGCAAGCACTTCTTCTATCAGTTCTTGCTTTCTGAGAAAGTGCAGTGCAATGGCTGGAGCTCCACCAGCCATCTTGCATCATGAGAATCACCTTGAAAATGGAAATCACACATGGTAGAGCAACGAGATAGAAGGAAAGTGGGTCTCTGAGACCGTGGAGTGCCATCCCAGCCCTGGACTGACTCCTTCTGGACTTCAAGAACATGAGGGAGAAATAAACGATCTTGTTTAAGCTCCTGCTCTTCGAAGTGCGTCCCAAGGACCAGCAGCACTGGCATCTCCTGGGAGCTTGTTAGAGATGTACGATCTTGTGTGCCACCCCGACCTACTGGATCAATATCTACGGTTTAACTAGATCCTCAGTGATTTGTATGCCTGTTCAAGTTTGAGAAACACTGGTTTAACCCACTGTTGTTGGCTTAACCTAATTCTGACTGATTGTGGCTGCAGTGGCCTTGCTGATGCTGGTGACTGAGAGCCCCTTGTTATTTCCAGAGTCTATGGAGGCAGTGGCTTCCAGGAAAGCCATCCGTGACTCATGGAGTACTGTTCTCCAAACGGTCCTCATCCCAATCTGGCCTTGCAGAGCTCTATGCAAAGAACAGAGCCACCAGAAGCAGTGGGAGAAATCAGAACTCCGCAGCCTGTGGGTGCGTCTCTGGTGCGTATGTGTGTTTGTAGTTGTGAGTGGCTCTGTGTGCTTGCACATGTTTGCAGAGAGGCTGGAGGGGCCGGTGGAGCATTTTCACCCACTAGCTGTTGATGCATCTGTAAGGAATATAGAGGAAGACAAGAGCAGGGGGACATCCGGCCCACAGAGGAATACAGTCAAATCAGCTTGGCTCTGTGGTACGTGCCCACGGGCAAGGATCCTGTGAAGTCACCGGCTGGGCAGGTGCCATTGCGAGAAACAGACCTGGGGACCTAAGGAGGAGAGGGGGAGCTGGCCTGTTCTGAGGATGAAAGCCACGTGGGCTGAGGGTCTCCCTTGACCCGAGGTGTGGGATTGGCACCCAGGAGGGCACCGAGGATGGATGGTGACAGCTGGGTGAAGGTGGCTGACATCTGGGCAAAGATGCATGATTTATGAAGTACGTGGCTTATGAGGACGGGTCAATGTTTCCACTGTCGCTCTGTGTTGTCTGCATCTTTCTTGCCTCTCCCTGGTCCCTCTTCGAAGAACTCCTTCATGCCTGAGAGCCGGAAGGGCAGCCAGTTCCGAGAAACGTGGGAGGTGGGGAGCTGGGTGCTGTTTGTTTTCTTGCTGCCGGAGTCTGTACCCTGCTGTCACCTCCCTGTCTCTCTAGGAAGGGAGGGTAGCAGCCCGGGAAGCAGAGGCGACGTCCTGTGACTGGTGTGGCGGCTGACCTGTGGGGGTTCCGGGATGGCTGCTTGTTTCATGGGCCAGTGTGCACGCTTTGGTGGACAAACATCCCTTGGACTCTGGCCCAGAAAGGCATCATGAAGCCAGATGGGGAAGGCCAGCCTGGAGACCCTCCTAGATGGGAAGGGAGTCAGACTTGTAAACAATTACAAGAGTGTTTTGACATACAGGAAGTAGCTGTGTGACCTTGGGCAACCTGCTTAACTTCTCTGCACCGCAGTGACCTCATCTGTAGGATGAAGATACTAGTGTTTCCATATAGAGTGGTGAAGATAACATGTGTTAATATCTACTACAGTATTACAGTCAGGTCAGGGTCCTGGAGAAAGCGGAGGAGGGGCCCTCCAGACAGTCTGGTGAGGGGCTCAGAGAAGGTGATGCTGCACAGAGGCTGAGGAAACTAGGAGTTTGCCAGGCAGGGGACGTGGGGGAAGAGCATTCTAGGCCCACTGGCCAAGGCACCAAGGGATGAGGCAGTGGAGCGGGAAGAATTCAGTCACGACTGGAGTGGAGGGGGACGATGAGAAGTGGGCGGGACCTCAGAGAGGACAGCCCAGACACGCGGCCGCCTCTGCCCCACACCAGGGCTTTGCTGGGACCATCCCCGTAGTCCAGGCCGCTCTCTCCCCTGTATTTTCTTGGACAGAAAACTCCTGAGGGTACAGTCCTACTGACCCTGTGGTCTGTTCTCAGCAGCAGCAGGGGACACACACAGGAGACCTTGGGCAGTGACTCTCCCCTGCGCCCACGGAGCTCCTGCCCTACTCGCATTGCCCTGCCTGCTCCTCCACTTGCCCTGACCCTTCTAATTCTTTGGGACTCTACTGCCCCCTGCACGAAGCTTTCTGAGAAGGCTCCAGGCTCTCTCTGACCTCCTGTCTCTCCTTCGCCATTCTCTCTGAGCCTGGCCTTGAGCCCTTCCCTGTGTGGGCCCTGCAGGGACTGGAGGGCTGGGTGGAGCCAGGGAGAAGCATGCGGCCCTGCAGGTCCTGCTTGTGCACAGTCCCGCACCCGACCCCACGCAAAGCTTAAAGACGGGAAATGATGGAAGCTTCTGAGGACCACGGCTGGCTTTCCCGGCAGACCCACGTCACTGTGCTTCAACGCATGAGGCTTTGTTTCCATCCTCAGGCAGTGACTACAGGTGGCTGTGGTCACACTGCTGGAGCTGACTGCTGGGGCCTGATGTCCAGGGACGTTCAGCCATGCGGCCTGGGCTAATGCCAAAAGGAGTATCTGGAATCCTCCCCACTCATCAACATCTGACCTAGTCCTGTGCTTCCTGCGGGAGGCGTTTTGTTTTTCAAACCCATTTCTGATGGACTAACAGCCCTGACTCAATTAATCAAGCCCCAGGCTGAAAACAGCTGCCCCACATGGCAAATTCGCTGGCCTCTGATGGAGAGGCACGTTCGGGCTGTGAGCGCTGGGTGGTCTTGGGACAGGGCTTTGCCATCTGGTCTCCGTCCCCAGGCGTGGGAGTGCTGTCACCGAGCTGTGAGTCAGCATCTCCTCCTTTCCTCTCTGCACCGGCTGCAGGGCCCAGGGTACAGTCCACGCTAACCCAGGGGAGCTGGGAGCTGGCGCTCGCTCCCTTCTGCAAAGGGCCATGGGAAGCGGTGTCCACCTGGGCAGGCTGTGCTCCAGATTATCTAAGGAGGGGTTCACAGAGGAGGGTTAATTTAGAGAGATTTAACTATTAAACCCATCCCTGTTTGCAAGCAAGTTTTGTTGAATCCTTAACAACATGGCAAGCAGATCAAACAACATTTTGTTACTAAAAGGTCCCTCCTTGGTTTAAACCTTCCATCCCAAACTCAGTATATCTTACTACATGCCCCCACTCAGATTTGACCTCTTAGCTGGGAGGACCTGAAGTGTGGTGGGAGGGTCTGGCCCTCCTGCCTCACCCCACCCAACTTCTGGACATGGCTCCCCTGAGGTGGGGGCCAGGAGAGAAGGACAGAGGGGTGAAGTCACCTGGCTTCACAGTGGTGACCAGAGGCGTCTCTGCTCCGGTCTCTGGCTGGCTGCAAGCTGACATGGTGGTCTCCCGGATGCACAGTGCTTTCCTGAGTGTTTCTCTTTACCTCGGATCCCTCCTTATTCTAGGAATTGGCTCACATAATTACAGAAGCCAAGAAGTCCCATGATCTGCCGTCTACAAGGTGAAGAACCTGGAAAGCCAGTGGTGTCGTTCAGGCCAAGCTGGAAGGCTGAGACCCAGGGGAGCGATGGTGTAACTGCCCGTCTGCAGCTGAAGGCCTGAGAACCCGGCCGGGGGTGTGGGCTGCTGCTGTAAGTCCAGAGGCCGATGAGCAGAGAGCCAGGAGCTCTGATGTCGGAGGGCAGGAGAAGACGGGTGTCCCAGCTCGAGCAGAAAGAGCAAGTCCTCCCTTCCTCGCCTTCTTGTGCTGTTCAGGCCCTCACTGGATAGATGATGCCACCCACTTTGGTGGGGGTGATCTTTAGTCAGTCTACCAGTTCAAATGCTAATCTCTTCTGGAAACAGCCTCATAGGCACACCCAGAAGCAATATTTTAACAGCTATCAGGGCATCCCTGGACCTGTCAAGGAGACATGTGAGATCAACCATCACAAGGCGCAACCCGTTTCCTCCCACCAAATCCACAACCCTCGATTCTTCGCCCCTCCTCCTGGCCCGGCCCTCTCCCGTCTGACTGGGGTGAGCAGAGGGTGGCGCCTGGCGGGCCCAGGGCTCGACCCCTCCGTTAACACTGGCACTGGGAGTTTGGCCGCAGTTGTGCGCCGCTCTCTTTAACTTGTGGGGTATAAGCACCTTCTCCCGTTCACGTGTGGATCCTCACCAATGCCTGAGCAACAGGAAAAGTCCCCTCCGACATAGTAGTCACCAAGGTTTGCTGAGCCGCCAAGCAGCAAGCTGCTGCAGAAAGTACCAGGGGTAGTTGTGTATTATACCAGGAGAAGCTAACTTTTCTAAAAACTTTCACAAACCCTTTCTCTTTTGCTCTTCCTAATAGCCTGGTAAGATCAAGTATAAGAAGTACCATTAGTCCTTGGGTAGAGTTAAGCAGTTAATTAGCTTGTCTGAGCTGGGGTTCCCCCATCTGTAATGTCAGGGATAAGAGAATCTACCTCACAGGGATCTTGAGAGAATTAAATTTTAAGAGACGTGCAAAGTGCTAGCATGGAGTTCTCAGAATGCACCCTGGAGACAGCACCTGGGCAGGGCAGACCTGGGTAAGAGGCTGGACGGAGAAACAGGAGGGCAGGAAGGGAGGCGAGGTGGCAGAGCTTGGGCTCTGAGATCAGGTGACAGGGACTCAGGTCCCACGCTGTCACTTGTTAGCTGTGTGATCCTGGGCAAGTCACTTAAATCCCTTCCTCATTAGTTTCCACTTCTGCCAAGTGGGCAGAACAGGAGCACTTCCCTCAACCCCGCACCCGCTTCGGTTTACCTGTCATTCAACGACAGCGCCCTCCACCGGTTGCTCCTGACGCTTCCTGAGAGTCATCCCTGAAACCTCCTCTTCCTCATGCGCCACATCCCATCTATCAGCAGGTTTTATCGATTCCATTTCTAAGCATCTTTCAAACTGATTGACTTTAGAGCAGGTGGGGTTTACCAAGACAGGGGACCGTTCCGGAGATGCTGGAACCAATGCACAGCCTGGGCAGCTAGATGCAATCCTCATCTTCCTTTGGCTGGTTGATGGAAATCTGGACTCAGTGGTGGCCCACACTGAAACCCCAGAAATTCCTTGTAAAACTAGTTTCAAAGAGAATTTATTAAGCATGAATCTTCCCTAATTTTATTCCCCAAGAGGGCACCACTTTCACCAGAACACCTCTGGGAGGGGAGTGCTAGCATCTTTGGCAAGTGCTGAGATGGCTGCTCTCTGAAAGCCAGAGATGCAGGTCAGCGATGGTGTGGTTTCAAGATGGAGGATGCGGAGGGGCAGAGGCCAGGCAACGGCACTTGACCACCAGAGGCACTAGGTGTGGTGACCATTAGAGAAAGTTGGGCTGGAGTGATGACAACCTGACCCACAGGGATCTTGGTTACGGCTCTTTGACTTTAGAGGCCTTAGGACTGAAATAGTTCAGTCTACTAAGATCCTCTTGGACCTGGCTTGAGTCATCATGAGAGCTGCAGCCTCTTAACCACGTCCCTAGACCACATCCCTAGATGTGATTCAATTCACAGACCCAGAACCCGAGGAATGAATCCATTAGCCTTAAAGCAGGACTTCGTAGTAATATGACTCTTCCTCCTGGCCTGTCACAAAGTGACCTGGGACATCTGCTGGGTAATTCTGCATTGGAGAAAGGACCATTGAACGTTGGCTCTGAGCTGAAACTGACTCCTGGAAACTCAAAACGCCACTGTGGTCTCCCAGCTGGGGGATTTTGAGGCTAAGGGGATAATTGGATTTCTGACCCAAAACCACCTCAGTGAAGGCAATGGGAGCCAGACCACATCCCATATTTCTTTGCCAAGATTTTGAGTGGAGTGTTTGATTGGACATGCTTGGAAATTGACAGAATCTCCACACCGACTCCTTGGTTTGTGGAATAATGGCTAATGTAGGGAAGGGCCAAATGGAAGCCTCTGGAATTCCACCTCCCAATCAAAGTGATTAGCCCGTAAAGTTCCACATCCTAGGGGAATGTCAGATATTAGTGCCAACATCGAACATTTGCAAAACTGCAGCAATGGTGATCCCTGTTATGCTCTTAGAGAGCTTGCCTGCTTAGTTGGTGCAGAAGACAGATCAATCTTGGAGAATAACTACAGATCTTTGTAAGCTTATTCAAGTGCTGACTCCAATTTTAGCTGTTATCTTAGATGAATTGATAAATTTACCCAGCCCAAGGTATCACAGCTGGTAAATCTTTGCTTTTTTTAAATCCCTATGAGCATAAAGGCATCAGGAATTCAATAGTTAGATCTCACCTGAAAAGGATAGCAGTCATCTTCATGATGTGTTCTCCGGGCGACATCAGTCTTCTGGCTCTGTGGCACAATTCACCCCCACTGGTCCATCACCCTACATGCTATAATCCCAGTCTCCTACATGGCTGACAACAAGCTCACAGGTCATGGAGAGTAGAAGGTAACAGGTACTTAAACGTTTTTGTAAGACATCTATGCGCTACAGGACAGACAATAAATCCCCCAAAATACAGGGACTTGGCCACCTCGCTGACATTTTGAGAAGCTGGTGTCTGGGACATATTGGGATATTCCCTCCAAAGTGAAGGAGAAATCGACTCACTGTGTCCCCTGCTACAAAGAAGGAGGTGTGATGCTTTGTGAACTGCTTTGGACTTTGGAAGGAACGTGGAAAGAACCAAACATCACATTTGGTTGTGCTCTTCTGATTCATTTACTGAGTGAGCCACAAGACTCGCAGTTCTGGGCAGGGCTCAGAGCAAGAGGAGGCTCTTCAGCTGGGACAGACTATAACCGAGGCAGCCCTGCTCTTTGGGCCTTATAACCCAACAGGGCCAAGGGTACTAAGTTTCTTTAGTAGATCATTGATGGGAAAATCAGCACAAACACTAACATTTTGGAGCAAAGCTAAGATCTCTTCAGCAAGCAAATAGTCTCCTTTTGACAAGCAGCGCTTGGCAGTATTCTGGGCCTGGTAGAAAACCAGTACACCTGACCAGAGGATGTCAGATGGTCCTGCAACTTGTGCTTTCCCCTGTTAGCAGGGTGTTCTCTGCCCCACCAAACCATAAAACTGAGCACGGCCTGCAACATTCCATCACCACCTCAAAGGGTCATGGGCTCACACAGTCCTGAAGATCAGTGGTATGCCTAGCGTATTTGGTACCCAGAGTCGGGGGTGTATTGGTAAATATTTAGCAACCAACTCTTTTTGGGGTGAGAGCCCTGGTTTGCACAGTTTGTATATTTCCGTGGTGTAGATGCTACCACTGTGGCTGATTGCAGGCTACCAACAGGACATCGCTGAACACAGTCAGAAAAGATTTCACAACTGGTTCTCAGCAGCCAGTGCAAGCTGGCTCCAGCACGCCACCACCCAGAGTGGGCCATTTTCCAAATCCCCTTTCTCTATGCAGTAAGATTATTTTCAGAAAACGATCATGAGATGCAATGAATAATAACTTCAGAAAAAGCACAGACAGCGGAAATTTTCTTTTATTGTAATCATGCTGGTAAACATTTTTTAAATAAAAAAGAAAATTAATATCCAGTAAAAAAGAGGAGAAAAGGATTGGCCATATGGTTTCTGGGCTGGCATTTAAGGAGCTTAGAAGTCCCCACTCCATCCTAACGAGTAAAAAGCTGAACGAACTGAAAAGCCAACAGCTTTCTTACATCTCTCAGAGAAGTGAGGTCACAGGGCAAACGCTGCCCCCCAAATTGGAGAGACTGACAGGCACACAGAATGACAGCGTACCTGAGCAGAGACCCGGGAGCTGCATTTTTTTTTTCCAAAAAAGGGAAAAGAATTTTACCTAAATATTGTTCTGTCCCAGTAATGAAGAACATGACAGTTTCTGGTTTCCAGCCTTGGCTTCTGCAAGTGTGTCAGTGACTTCATCAGAATTGAACTTGTTTGAATGCTGCTCTTCAGTGGACCGTACAGCCAGATTCGACAATCCATCTTTGTTCAATGGTTGATCAAAGAACGCTTTTTGTTAATCTTAATTCCAAAAACTTTCTTACATGTTAAGTAACATGAACGAACTGTTCTGTAAATACAATTGTGTTGGAACACAGCCACTCACATTTGTTTACATCTTATTTATGGAGGCTTTTTTTTGCAGCCACAGCAAGCTGGGTAGTTGTCACAGACCATGTTGTTTACGAGCCTAAAATACTGATCAGGCCCTTTAAGAAAAAGTTTGCCAGCCCCGACCTAAAGGATTAAAAATAAAATGTAATTTGTATTTAAAGTGTACAAAATTTGAATATATTTTCATCAAAAATCCTAAACTATGGTGAATATAAAAATAATAACATTTGAACTTATGTGTTTTCAGAAAAGTATTTTTCTGAATACTGACTAGATAATATTCAAAATTATCTATTATAATTGAAGGACGAAATACAATGATAATTAACGACACTTAGAATCTTAAATCAAAATCAAGTACAGCTGAAATATGTAATTTAATTTTTTGAAAATTCAAGTAAATCATATTGAATGTTTCTATAAAATGAAAACTACTACCCACAATTCTGGCATTCTATCTTTATCTAGCTGTCAATATAAAGAAGTGGTATTAGACTTCATTGTGTTATTTCTAATGTAGGCCCACATGTACACCAATTGAAGAGTAAAATGAATTGTTTCATACTGCAAATATTTCTCAACCACTCATGCCAAGTATCAGTTCCATTATCGTGAAAAATATGCTAATTATCTTGTACCTTCAGAATCATGAATTGAAACAGGAAGACAAGAAAGAAAATGGGTGCTCAACAATATTTTGTTACTAAAAATGTTATGGAAAATACATATTGCATTCACACTGACAGGATTTAACAAGTTCAATAATTTGCGTTTTCTCTCAGTTAAGAGCTTCCTCTGCTCAAATCCTCTTCACACTTGGAAGCAGGGTCTGTGTCGGACATCAGCAGGGGTGTAACCCCCGAGCCTGCACACATTCACATTCCTTTCGTTTCAAGGACACTGGGCAAGAGACACAGAGGCGTGTTTCCCTGGCCTGAGCAGCGTCACGCCTGAGGACAGATGTTGAGGCTCACGGGCTGTGATCTGCCAGCACTGAGCCCTGGGTCTCGTGTGCTCTCTGAGTGTGTGTGTGTTTAGAATCTGTAGGGTCCTTGGCAGCCCGGTTCCTGGGGCAGCAACCCTTCGGGTGGGTCTAAGGGTGTATAGACATCCCTCTGCTCTGTGTACTGCCACTGATCTGGCGCATGCCCAGCCATCCACAGCAGCAGGCTGCTGGCAGTCATGACGCCAGGCGGGACCTGACCCCAGGAAACAATTAAATAAAGAAAGCGCAGAATTTTGACTCAAGTTGCCCAATCATGTTCTCTCTCTCTCAGGAATCTGGGAAATTAACTGAGGGACTAGAAGACAAATGAATTTAATGGCAGAGTTCTGGATGGAAAGCCTTTTCGGGGGGTCCTCAGAGCTGTCCCAGTCAGTCCTGGACTCTGTCCTTCTGGTCTGCCTGTTGGGATTTCCAGCTGCTCGCTCAGATTCCACCAGGCCTCTCAGGATCCTTCTAACGAATTTTTTTCTTTTGCTGTATTTGTCACCGCTGCTTGAGATCAAAAGAACTCTAACTGACATCTCATGCAAGGGGTGATCTGCATGCCCAAATCGTAAGGCTGGGTCAGGCCTGAAGCAGCCTGTGGAGAAATCCTCTGTCTAGACCACTTTGTGAGGCCACAGCGTGGTCTGAAGAAAGCCTGTCTGTGCCACCAAGACTCTGGAAGGGGTGGAGTTGGATAGACCTGAAATTGTGTCCTGGCTCCACCACCTTCCTATGGTGTGACCCTGAGCAAGTTACTTAACCTCTCTGAGCCTCAGTTTCTCCCTCTGTAAAGTGGCACCATCCCTCAGAAGGGCTAGATGTCTGGGCACTGCCAACCGATAAAGTACCTTCGTATGAATGAGAAGAAAGTGCCCTCCTGGGCGCGGGGCTTGGCGAGTGGACTGCAGGCTGGACTTGAGCCCCCACAGTCTCAGCTGGGCGTCCCGGTGCAGTGTCCAGGCTGGACATTGAGGAGTGGTGGCCCTGGGCGCTGGGAGCCATCGGTGAGGTGAAGTCCTCAGAGTGCCTGGGCTCAGTGACCGTGGTCCCCTTTTCCTTTTCCCTTCCTGAGTCTCAGCCTAACCACAGACAGCACAGAAACCAATCTGCAAGGCGTGAAGGATTACAGAGAGGGACGGCAGGTGAGGTCTCCTCACGGCTGGGCTGGACTCCACGTCACGGTGGCCCTCATAGCTGTCTGTGTGCCTCTGGGCCTGGGGAAAAAGGCAAGGGTGCTTGGATCCTTCCGTCCTTCCTTCCTTCATCCAGCCAGCTTTGGCCACCACCTGTGTCCCGGCTGGCTCTGCTGGCTGGAGGGAAACCCAAGTGAGCAGCGCCTGACTCCAGCCCTCCCTGGAGGTGACATCTGGAAAGGGAGGCCAGACGAGCTGTGGGAAACAGTTCAACATCACCGTAACGGTAGGCTTCCGCTTTTGTGCACCTCCTCAGGGCTTACAAAGCTTTCCCAACACGTTCTCTGGGGCATCCTCACCCCAACCCCAGGAGATAGGCAGGATGGGGCCATTGGTGACATTTTATAGACGAGAAAACCGAGACTCCTAGGACTAAAATGACTATCCACTTAACAGTAGTCTCTGAAGTCGAGGCTGGAACTTAACTTGTGTGGCTCGGGTTCAGCTCCAAGTCAGGGGCTACTGTCCCAGTCAGATGGAAAACCCACCAACGGGCCACATGTGTCATCAGGCAGGATCCAGCCCACTTAGAGGTGTGCGGTGGACGGGCTGCCTTCTTTCTGTGGTCTTCTGTCTCTCGTGGCCCAGGAAGAGGGCTCTGCCTTGTCCTGGACTGTTTTCTTCTCTCACGCTGACTGAGTGCGTGGGCTTGCACGTGGCCGGCCAGACAGATTTGGATGCCTGTTTAGGGGGTGGTAGGAAGCTCCCTGTCCCTAGGATTAAAACACGTTCTGGAACCAGCTCTCCTGGAACTGTGCATGGAGACACCGGACAAGAGACAAGTTTTTAACACAGCGGCTCTTTCTTGGTTTCCTGTTTGGCTTATGTCACAGGGGGTTCCCCAGGAAGCCAGTTGTGATGGAGATCTGCCACGGAAAGTTTATCAGGAGCGGTTTTGGGGACACACACCTGTGGACGGAAGGGATGACGCAAGAGTGGCCAGAGGGAGGCGTTCAGCAGCCAGGCTGTCCCCACAAAGGCCTCGCCAACTCTGAGAGGCGCCCTGAAGATGTGACCCCAGCCCTTGTATCCCTCAGTGGTTGACGTGGTCCCCCTGAGGAAGGGGCGTGCCCTCGGGTGGGGTGGCTCTCCCTCCACCTGGGGAGGGCAGGGACAGCTGACGGCCCAGCAACCCCAGTGGCAGGGAAATGAGCCCTTTGTTCCTGGAGTGGGACATGGGTGAGGTGTCCATGGCCACCCTGTTACTGTGCTTTGTGCTTCTCTCCTCAGAACCTCAGAGGAGGCAGGGTGATCGACAGCAGGACCGGCACTGCTGGGTCCTCTAGGCAAATCAGAACTTGCCCGAACTCCACAAGATGCAGGCCCAGCCACAGAGAGGGGTGATGATGGTGGGGCCAGGGCTTCCTGGGGGCAGGCATCTCGGAGAGGCCTTGGCACGCTGTGATGAATCTGGAAGAGGAACAGATGTTTAGAATATAAAGGAGGTGACCTGCGAGGTGGGCTGGGATGAGCACAGTGGGTCCTGGAAGGGGGCTTTTGGGGGTCCTTCCATAGCAGGAGGCCTTGCCTGGGGAGGGAGGCCTTCAGCTTCTGTGGCCCGGGGAGGGTGCCCTGCGGGCAGCAGGAGCCCAAGCAGGACAGACCTAGCTGAGGAGGAAGGCCTGGGGAAGGCGAAGCTGGATCCCTGCTGGGCGGCGGACGGAGACCCTCCTGCCGGCCCTCTCCCCTCCGGGAGGCCTGGATGCTGTTGCAGGGGTCCGAGGGGGCAGTAGGACTACAGCCTGAGGGTGGCAGTAGGGGAGGGTGAGGAGGGGCAGACATGGGGGAGGGCACCCAGCTGCGCGGGGGCTGAGCGCCAGCTGCAGGGACCTAGGAGGGGAAAGGAACGGGTGACCGCGGTGGTTTGGGGCCAGCCCGTCCGAATGAGCACAGCCAGTTTCCTCTAGCGCAGGTCTTTCCACAGAGGAAAGAAGATATGAGATGCGGGGCACAGCTGATTGCCTTTGGGGTCCCTCCGTGACTCAGAGCATTTTCCAGCTCGTTGAACTGGGGCCGTGCTGTGTGGAGTTTTCTCCTGAGCTCTGGCGGATGCAGCATGAATGGGGAATTTCATCCATCTGCGGACGATTCCTTTACCCTGAACTCATCCGCAGCCAGCTCCTCGAGAGCCTTTGATGTCCAGCAGGACTCCGAGCCTTTTTATGAGATGTTTTATGCTCCCCCCCACCCCCACCCATCGCTGGCCATTTATGTTTAAGGAACGGAAGTTGTGTTTTTCGGAGTCTAAGCAGACTCAGCCTTTGAAAGCTTCAAGTTCTAAATTCTAAGCTCGTGGGGTTCCCTTGGACTCCAGCCCTGGCAACCTTTTCTCTTCCAGCCGGGGATCTTGCAGCACAATCCCAGAGGCCTGGCTTTGCACGCACGGATCCCGGGCGGGGTGGGGGAGAGCTGGGGCCATCAGGGGGCCCAGGCTCTGGTCCCTTCTCCTGACCCCCAGGCCAGGGCTGGCCCTGGGCAGAGGCAGAGTGAGGGGGGGATTGATAGAAAGAGCCTGACCCAGCCCCATGCCTGGTGCCTCTGTTCCTTTGGGCTAAGGCATTTCCCCCCAATCTCGAGTAGCATTGCAAATATTTCCGATCTGGGCAGTCGTTAACACAATGTTATGGGTTCTCTGTTCAGCTGGGAGATCGCTCAGGAGAGGGACAGAAGAGGGTAAGTTTTGATGGGAGAAGAGTCCCTACTGGGAAAGAGAGTGGCAGGACAGAAAGCAAGCCCCTAGGCCTCCCCACTTGCCCTGGCTTCCCAGGGGTCTGGACAGGGCCCGGGGAGCAGAGCAGGGGTGGGACTGACTCGGGTGGCGCTAGACAGAGGGATGGTGTTCGGGAGAGAAGACGAGTCTCTGAAACGGGGTGCATGTGTGCGTGTACATGTGTGTGTTGGGGTGGAGGGCCGTTCCCTGAGCTGTGGGTGTGACTGGAGCTGCTTTTCATAGCTGCCCAACACTTTAACCTGGGGGAGGGTGGGAGCTGGTCACCTCAGGGACCCCGCGGGGCATCAGTAGGCAGAGCTCAAGCTAACCCTGGACAGGGAGCAGGGAAGCTTTCCGAGAGAAGGGAGAGGTTGGGCCCAAAATTCGGAGGAGGCACAAGGGTTCTCTTGGGACATGTGAGTGGAGGACGAGGGGGGAGGAAGAAGATACCAGAGACGAGCAGCAGGTGTTTGGGGGTGGCTCATGTCGGGGGAAGGTATTCTCGGCCCCCAGGGACACTGAGGGAGGTTGCACCTGCCACTCAGAGGAAGCTGGAGGTCTGGAGTTGCTCAACTCCTTCTCCTGGTTTGCCTTCTCCACTGGCAAAGCCACCGGCTCTGTGTCTCTGGATACATCCTGTTCAAATTTTGGGGAATGTTAACAATCCTGTGACCCCATGTGGCCTCACTATTTCATGTTATCATCACAACCCCACCCAGAGATGAGGACAGGGGCCAGAAAGTCTCATCCTTTTCCTTATATAGCAGATAAAGAAATGGAGGCTCAGAGACATTGTGTAGCTTGCCTAAGGTCACACAGCGAGCCAGAGGCAGAACTGGGGTTTGAACCACCCATGCCAGAGCTTGTGGCTGCTCCTCACCTCCTGCGTGGGTCTCCTCATTGCCTCCCCAGGATTCCCGGTGGCTCTGTTTCTCTGGGGTCAGGGCTATTCCATCAGTCAAATCTGCACACGGAGATGTGTACCATGCCAGACAGCGGGCAATGTGGAGACGAACCCCAAGGCTCCTATCCTCAAGAGCCCACGGTCAGTGGGGGCGGACACGGGAACAGACACAGATGTCAGGGCATGATGGGTACGAGGAGAGAGGCGAGCACACAGAGGGTCCCTGGGGCCCAGGCTCGGGGGAGGCTGGGGGAGGATGGTCTGGGATGCTTCCTACAGGAGGAGAGGGCTCAGCTGAGTTAAAGGGCAGAGGGGAGCGGGGTGAGATGACGGAAGCAGAGGGAACGGCAGCGCTGAGGCATGAGGGAGAGAGTACGTGGGCGTCCCGGGTCTGAGCAGGGCCGTGTTATAAAGGGGACGTGCACTGGCGGTGGTGAACCTGGAAGCTGGAGAGAGAGGGCGGCTTCTCCCCGGGGAGGAAGTGCCTTCTGAGCCTGCAGGGCCTGGATTTGTCCTGAGACCAGGCAGCCTGCAGGGGCTCCTGAGCAAGAGGGAGCCAGGGCTTCCCCTTCTCACAGGTCCAGATGGGCAGCCTGCGCCATGGCTGGGAAGGAGGCCCCGTGCCATGGCAGGGAGGGAGGCCGGGCGCATGCTGGTGGCCCAGGCCCCAGCTGGAACTGGGGCCGCCCCGCGGTGGGCACCCAGGATGCCTGGAACTGGGTCTGCCTCACCTGGGCAAGGGCAGCACACGCCGCTGGGTTCAGCTATACCAGTGCAGCCTGGGCGGGCTGGACGTCTGGCGGCTCTGGGCGCCCCAGAGAGATAGACTTCGTGTCCTTTCTGTTGATGGAGCCAGCTGGGCCGAGTCCTGCCTCAATTTTGAGAAGAGAAGTTTGGGCACCTCTGCCAGGCACAAGTGGGCCCTGACCTCTGCTGCTCGTCTACAACTATGTTGCTGGGAAATAGCCCCCATCTTACATTTTCGACGTGGCATTGGCAGCCAAACCCAGAGCACAGCTCCACAACCGAGAAGCATCAGCCAGCTTTGCTGGTGAGGCTTCCACACACTGAGGGGCAGCCTGGTGCCCTGGGAAAGGGTCTCATGACAATGGGGCGTTTGTCTGGGGGGCTGAGTAGCAGGGCTACGACCTCCAGCCCCCTCCCGGCGCAGGGCCCGCTCACTCCGGGGCTTGGAGAATTCTGACCTCAGTTCTACCACCCACCCAAAGTGGGACCCTGGGCAAGCCACTCAGTTTTCTCATCTGTCAGATGGGTATAAAAGTCCTGGGTCGACTGTCTTAGAGGGTTGTGAAGAGAATCAAATGAGCTCTTGGGTGAGAAATAACGTCAGGATTAAAAAGAGCTTCGATGCCCAGCTTTCCTCCCTAACTCCACCTGAGCCGGCCCTGGAACCTCTGAAGGCTGTCAGGGGGCCGTTCTGTCACCTTCCTGGGCTCCTCTTAAAAATCAAATGACACTGCAACCCCAGGCAGTGGACAGAACCAGCCCTATTTCAGCCTCGAGAAGAGAGCAAATGGCAAGATGAGGAAAACGGGCTCTAAAGGCAAGTACATTCCTCCACAGGCCGCCTCCCCCCCAAGGCTCATTTGACTTTCCATCAACAGCTAATGATGTGGGGGGACAGGACCCCGGGGGGCCGTTCCTGCCTCTTCCCAAGCAACCACACCTCATGGTGGGGCCTCTGCTCCAGCCTCAGGAGTGTCGGGGAAGCTGCCAGCCTGTAAAATGCCTAGAAGATTCCTTGGCAGGAAGTGGATCTGCCCCAGAGGGTGGGGCTTTTCCCTCACTGACCGCTGGGGAAGCTCCGGTCTTTCCTGGGAGCGTGGCAGAGGCCCCAGCTGCTTGGGCTGGGGGCTTCGAGGGAGGAGGAGGTCTGGCTTCAGAGCCAAGGCCAACCCCAGCGGCTGGTATTTATTCCCTCCTGTGGGAGCTCCTTTGGCAAACGTTTATGGAGCCCCACTGAGGAGCAGGCTCTGCGTCCACGCGGAATAGCAGCTGCCCCGTCTGTCTGACCCCAGATTCACAAGCTCCCTTGGCTGGCAGTTCGCAGCGCTGGCCCCAGCGAGGTCCCCACTCAGCATGTTCATCAGCCCGACATGGTCCCAGGCATGTGCTGCGTAAACCGGGGGCCAAACCAGGCACGGGCTGGGTTTCCTGTCTTCCTCACACCCAGCATGCTTGGCACTTGCAGGCCCTGTGACGCCGTGGTTCTGAAGGCTCCACCTTGTGCCCTTTGTCTTGGAGGTCTGTCTCTTCCCCTACAACCCTCTTCCTCACTAGTAAGACTTGGATTTGCTGGTGTCCACACCCATTCCACCTGAGTTTCCAGGGTACATCCTAACTATTACCGCCAAACATGGTAATTCCATGCTGCTTCTCAGTGATTGATCTAAGAAGTAGGCATGTGACATAATTCTGACCAATAGGATGTGAGGGGAAATGAGCTGGGGAGGAGCTTCTGGGGAAGGGTTTCCACTGACTACAGGAGACACATAGGAGAGCTGACTTCTCTCTCCCTCCACACTGTTATGTCTGTGTGTGATGCCTGGAACATTGGCAACCATATTGAAACCATGAGGGGAACAAAGCTAACATACTGAGGAGGAACAGAGTTGAAACATAGAAGGACTCTGGGTCCATGATGATGTCACCAAATCGCTAATCAACCCTGGTGCTGTCCTTCCTCAAGATTTCTTGTCATGTGACATTTTCTTCAAAGCCATTTTGGGTTGGGTTTTCTGCTCCTTGCAGCAGAAGCATCCTCACTGATTAAATCCGCGTCTCCACGTGCAGCCCCCTTCAACCTCTGTGAGCCATAGAGATTGGAGTCGGGCGGCCTCGTACTCTGAAAGAACTAAGCTAAAGCTGCCACAGTGTTGGGGCTGCCTCCTGGGATGGCCTCAAAGCTGTGTGGTTTGGCGATCTGGGGACTAGTAGCACTGACCCCTGCAGCCTGCAAGGCCTTCTCCAGAGGCGAGGTGGCCCCAGGACACTCCCCGACCCCTGGCTGCCCCCGGGGTGAGGGCTGGAGGTCCTCATGCTCATCCCCTGCCCGGGTGGGGGTCGTCCCTCTGCAGCTAGCCCCCACCATGACCTTCCCCGTCCCAGGTGTCCACCCTCCGGGGGCCTTGCAGCTCTAGCTCGCCTTCCTGAGGGCGGAGGCTCTCCCCACTCTGCCGCCCCGGGAGTCTGCCCTTCTCCGGCCGTTCTGCCCAGGATTGGTTTCATACAGGATCTCCTCCAGCCGAGGAAGAGCAGGGCTTGCAGGAGCAGCAGGCCCAGGGCCTCGGTGGAAGGCTGGGTGTGTGAGGAGGGTGCAGAGGGAGGCCTGAGGATCTTGCTCAGGAGGCCCCCCAGGGACTAAGGCAGGAGGAGCGGTGGGGACGGGAGTGCGGGGGGCCACTGGGAAGCAAGGGAGAAGGCTGTATGTCAGGTGGGGACAGGCCAGCAACAGGGATGACCCCGGCACCGGGAGCAGCTTAGAGGTGGGGACCCGTCCTGTTCATCTGTGCTGCCCTGTGCCTGGCATGTTCCGTAGGTGCTCAGGGAATGTCTGCCCAGTGGATGCAATCATTCTTTCATGCATTCATTCGTTCATTCAACAGAGACACTGTGCCACTTTGGACTGAAAAAGGAGATCAAGCGCTGAGTAAGACAGAGAAGGTCCCTGCCCTCTGGGTCCTTGTGAGCAAGGGGTGGGGGGTGGATATAAACCAGGAGCTAAATAACTGATTAACCAACTGGCTAAGTCACGAACATTTTTAGTCAATTATATTTGCTACAACGTATGACAGCCTGTGTGCGCTGTGGGGAGGGAGGCCTGAGGAGGGTGGAGGCGTTAGGAAGGGCCTCGCTGCAAGCAGAGCAGGGAGGACGAGAGGCAGCCGGCCACGCAGCCTCTGCAGGAGGAGTCCTCGGGGAAGCAGCTGGCACCAGGCCCCGGGGGACCAGACACGTTCAAGGCCTGGGTGTCTTGGAAGTTCCCAGGGGAGCGGGGGAGCTGATGCTGAAGAGTGAGTGGGGAGCTGGCCTCAGAAGCCTGTGGACTGTGGTCTGGGGTCTGCAGAGATGGTTGAATGGTTCTGAGTTCCAGCACGTTAGACCGGATCACCTGGACGCTTTCCTGCCTAAGGTCACAATTAGTCCCAGAGACCTTCCCGGAAGTGAGCCTGCATTCAGGGACAAAAGGATGCACCGTGGCAGAGGAGGCCCGCAGGGGCTGAGAGCCCGCTGACAGCCAGCACGCCGGGGCACCGACTTTCATCATTACCGTGGTTGTGGTCTCTGACGTCCAGGGCGGGGCTCTCCTGTTCCTCCCTCCTGCTCCCCACCTCTCTCTCTGTGCAGTGTGGGGGGTTTTGTCCTGGATGCCCTGCCGCCCACCTCGCTCCTGAGTGCTCTCCTCCTCGAGGCCCTCCTGATGTGGGAAGGCAATGGACGCTGGCCCTGGGGCGACACCTCCATGGGAAGCATGACCCTCGAGGCTTGGCCCAGGACTGTCTAGTCCCCATGTTCCCTCTGTCCCATGCCGCGACACCTGCCAGGCTCATCTCTGCCTGTTCAGGCCCTAGTCATCATGGGCGACCAGCTCCCAGACCTCGGGCACCTGGCCTGGCTCTCCTTCCCCAGAGACCCCTGGCCGGGGCTCCCCAGGAATGGCCTCACCCGTCTGCTTCTGCTGCTGGTTCCAGCCTTCCCTCCCTGGCCCAAGGACCAGCAAAGATGAGTCACAGGAGGCTTAGCTTGCCACCTCTTCAAACAAGTGTTAACAGAGAAATGGAAAGGGGCGTGGAGATGAGCGTGGGGCCTAGCTGGAACCTCAGCATGCGGGGCTGTGCAGCAGGTGCCTTTGCCGGCCCTCAGAGCTCCCGGGCGCAGAGCAGGGCAGCTGAGCCCATGCCGGAGGTGTGGTGGCTCCTTAGCCTGGCGTCAGGCTTTGTCACGAACGGGATCACACAGTAAGGGATAGGGCTGAAGACCACCAGTGTGGTCAGTGAGCTGTGTGGTCTCCGGCAAGCCATGGAACCACTCCAGGCCTCAGCTTTGTCACCCTCAGTCAGGATGACAACAGCTCTCTCATGGGATAGCTAGAGGACAAAAGTGACATAGGACTTGTGAAGCCTGCCTGCTGTGTGTCCTGCACCCCATAGCACCCTGTCCCTTCTCTGTTCCCTCTTCCGGCCTCCCTCCCTCCCTCTGCTTTAATGTGTGATACCCCCCCACCCCCACACTCCCCCATCTTAGATTCCAGAAGAGAACCATCACCAAAGCACGCAGGAAAGCCCCTGCATGGGGGTTAGGCACCAGGACAGTCCTTGGCGGGTGGAGTATGATCCTGTGGGGAGCAGCTCAAAGATCTTCCAGCTGCCCCCTCACCATCCCAGGTGGGGACCCTGAGGTCTCTCCTCACAGCCCTGGGGCAGGGGAGCAGCTGTCACCAAGGAAAGGCAGCGCTCAGGCCCTGCGGCTCCTGGGCCCAGACTGCCTGACTTCCTGTGCTGAGCACCAGCCAGGGCAACTGGCCCATCCCACAGGGCGGCCCCAGTCCTCCCGGGGCCCACTGCCAGGGGACAGCCAGCTCACCTGTGAACCCTGGGCCTCCATCCCAGGAGAAGCCAGTGAGGCAGGGACCAGAGGGGGATGCTGGGGTGTCCCTGGTGGGGTCTGTGGGTCAATGTGTGTGTTTGTGTCTGTGGTGTGTATGTATGCAGGTGGGCTTTGTGGGGTATGTCTGTGTGTGTATTTGCATGGATGGTGTGTTTGTATCCGTGATATGTATCGTATGTATGTGTTTGGGTGTGTGTGTGTGCATGGTCTGTGCAGTATATGTGTGTCTGTAGTGTGCGAGTGTGACTGTGTCTGTATGTCTGTGGTGTGCGTGTGTATGTGTCTGTGGTGTGTGTGTGTCTGTGGTGTACGTGTGTGTTTATGTCTGCAGTGTGTGTGTGTCTATGGTGTCTGTGTGTGGTTGTATCTGTGGTGTATGTGTTTATGTCTGTGGGGTGTGTGTGTGTGAGTGTGTGCACATGCGCAGCACTGGTAAGGCCAGGACCCCCCACCCACGGAGGACGTACACCTTTGGTGAAGTTGTGATGTTGCGGAGTCGTTCCTTGTCTCCCCACTTTTCTGAGTGCCTGCTCCCTCTCCCAGGCCAGTCCCTTTACTCCTCTGTCCCCGCTGAGGTTTCTCCTTGCCCACCTTCCTGCTGCCTCTCAGGGCCCAGGACCAGGCCAGCCCTGCTTGCTCCCTCCACCTCTCAGTGTGGCTCTGGGCCCCCTCCTCGTCCTGGACTGCAGCAAGGCATCGGTGACATCTCAATCTGGCCGACCCTCTGTCACAATCTAGCATGTCAAGGGAACAGTGTGGAGCCAGTGGCTTGGCCTCCTCCTGGTCTAGGCGGTAGCATGTTTGCTGTCCCTCTGCATGCCCCATGTGGCCGGCTGGTGACCAGCATCCGTTCCTGTCACCTTCTCGAGAGACTGGGCAGAGAGGGGCAGAGTTCATGCCAGGACATGTTGAGTATGAGGCTCCAATGGTCACCTGGAGGACAGAGGTCAGGGTCACTGGAGACAGAGGGTTGGGGACCAGGACAGGGCCTGGGCTGGAGTTAACATGGGTCACTCTCAGATGCTCATGGAGGGTGACTATGTGCCAGGTGCCGTGCCCAGTGCACCACTGCACACTGGTGGTGATTAAGACCACAGGCGTGAGAATGAAGTAGGTGGAGCGAGGTGTGGGTTGGGTCCCGCCACACCCACTCTGAAAGGCTGACAGAGAAAAGAAACAGACACACCCACCCACCTCCTCCCCACAGGCCTCATGCACCCAAAGCCATCATCAAAGAGCCCAATCACTCTCAACACCGCCCGACCCTCCCCGGTGGGCTCCAAGGCCCCCATGATGTGGCCCACACTTCCCCCAGCCCCCACCTGCGGCCACAGGGCCACCTTGCTGTTCCTTGACCTGGCAAAGCACATCCCTCCTCAGGGCCTTTGCACGTGCCATTCCCTCCCTCTGGAGCTGTCTTCCCCAGGCAGCCACGGCACCTGCTCCCTCCTTGCCTAGCATCTCTGACTTGGGCTGTCTTCTGAGAGGGGCCCTTCTAGAGCACATTGTTTAGAGTGTCACCCCTGTGTTGACCCATTGCCCCCTCATGCCGTTGCATTCCCCTGTGTCACCTGGAGTTGCTGTCTAACTGTGTGTCCATTCATTTGCTGTCTGTCTCCACCGGATGTCCTCTCTCTGAGGGCAGGCTCATGGTCTCTGCTGCATCATCAGTGTTTGGTGCATAGAAAAAGCTCAGTACATATTATTGGAGTGACTGAATGGAGAGATGAGCGAATGGGACGGTAGGACCTGTTGGAGCATCTGTATTGCCAAGGGCAAGACCAGGTTTCTCAAGAAAGAGAGTGCCATACTGCAAAATCCATTTCAGATGGATCAGGGCTGTAAAAAGGAAAACCAAAGCTGTAAAACCAGTGGATGGAAAGAAAGGAGAACATTTTCCTGAACTCGGAGAGGGAGAGCCTTCCTAAGCAAGACACAAAATCCAGAAGCTATGAAAGAAAAGCCTGACAGATTTGACTACACAAAAATAAAAAGCGTACGCATGGCAAAATGCATGATATACAAAGTTCAAAGACATTTGACTGGGAGAAAATATTTAAAACATGTACAAGAGACAACAGATTACTATCATTACATATGATACGATTCCATGAGCCAACAAGTAAGACACATACAGCCCAGCAGGAAAAAACGGGCAAACGAGGGAAACGGGCAATGCATAGAAACAGAAATACTCTTGGCCAGTGAGCGGCTGAATGGAGCCTAACCTCGCTAGTCACCAGCGAGAACCCACTGTGGGTAGGACTAGAGGAGGGGAACTAAAGGCAAGGCGGTGGGGCTCCCAGTGCCCCACATGTGGGACGGCTGTGGTCCCCACGGACAATGGAAGGCCAACTGGGCGGACTTAGCAACACTAAAATGCACACTCATTTTGACCCAGAAACCCCACTTTTAGGAAGCTATCCTTGCAAAATGCCAACGATGCCCCGTGCCTCACGGCTTGTACTTGCAGAGGAAGGAAGCAGAGCCCCCTGCTTGTCACCACAGGGAGGTGGCTCCACGACGGAGGACTATGCAGCTAATAACAAGACCCTGCTCTGCATTGAGAAATGCTCCCAACTTATTAAGTGACAATCAAAGTAAGACTCGGAACCACAGGAGTGGCCGGGTCCCATGTGCGTTTGTTAAACTCCTGTATGTGCATTCACGCAGCTGGATACATACACCGGCGGGCAGAACGTTGCATGAAATATGCAACTGTCAGCAGTGGGTGGCTCTGGGGAGTGGGGCGGAGCTTGAGGAGTGACTTTTCATTTTTCTTGCTTCTTTATCATAGAGTTTTAGCAACTAAAATATATGACTACTGTAACTTTTTAATAGAGAAAAAATAATGGCATTAGAGAAGGATGTGTATGTGGTGGGGTGTGTGGTGCTGTGCGTCAAGATGAGGAGGCCTGAAGAGGGTGGACTGGCTGGAGCCCCCAGGAGACTGCAGGCACCTTTGAGGCAGGCTCGCTCGCCGTGGGAGCCAGGCAGTAGAGGACACGGGGTGCCCACGGGCCCTGCCCTCCTCCAGGCCTCCCCAAAGCACTGTGCGGCAGGTCCCCCAGCCCCACTTCTCCATCTGCAGAGAGATGAAATCCGATCTCTCAGGGTGGGAATCAGGGCCCGAATCAGGCACGGAATCGGGGCCGACCCCACCAGGGAAGCAGCAACCCCACCCCCTGCACGATCAGGGCCTGGGTACCCTAGCGACAAGACGTGGCAGAGCTCCAGCTGCAAAGTCACCCTTTCAGCCCAGCCTTCACGGGCGGGGTAGGCAGTTCCTGTGCAGCCTCCTCCCACCCCCACTGCGTTCAGGTTTCCCTTCCTGGGAGGCAAGGGCTCTTCATCTTGTGGAAGCCTCCCCAGCACCTGGGCCATCCCCGGGGGCGCCAGGAGCTCAGTTCTGGACACGTTGATATAGAGATGGGTGTGAGACCTCCAGGCTGATGTCCAGCCAATAGATAACCATGTGGGTCTAGAGTTCAGGGGAGAAGCCCAGCAGGAGGAGGACCTTTGGGTCATGAGTTGGTGAAGACACCAGGGAGTGAGGGGTAGAGAAGAGCTGTGGGCCCTGGATCGAGCCCTGGGCTCCCTACATGGGACACTGCAAGAATAATAATAACAGTAATAATAGTCACTGCTGTATTGAGCCTGCAGGGGCAGGGCCTCGGGGAGGCGAAGGCCTTGCCCGAGGCCACCCAAATAGCACGTGGGTCTACCGGGCTCCAAGGTCTCGCGTCTCCTCTCTGGTCACTCTACTCCGTGTTTCTGTGTCACACCTAACATCTCATCTTTGTTTTTCTGCCCTCCTCCCCACAGCTAAGGGGGTGATTTAAGACAGCTAAGT